ACCAGTTACAAAGAAGATCCAATTTTTATCTATTTCATCTGGAGAACCATCTGGGCTGGGAATAGCAGTAATAATAACAAATCATTATCACCAGATTTCCTCATAGATAGCACCATTTTTTTGTTGTTGTTGCTCTTGTTAAAAATCAAGTTTTCAAGTCTGTTGGTGAATAAACAGCCAGCAATAGTTATGAAGGCTGTCCTAACCTGTATGACACAGGATTTGGACTGGTCCTGAGAACATGGCATGGTGAGAATGGGTGCTGGTAGTCTTTTCTGGAGGGGCAAGAAGTTGGGGGGTATATCTCTAGAAGGCCATTGTAGCAAGAACCATTCACGGGAGTGCTGGGTAGCAATGACTTCCTTATCAACCTCAGGTATAAAAACAATTTTGGGTTTCTTTTGATGTGGGCCAGCAGCAGAATGTGGCTGATAAACAAGCAATCTGTGTTATTGAACAGCATTAATAGAGATATATTATATTAACAGGAAAGGTGATAGTCTTCCTCTGTTTCATCCTTCTTAGAGCACTCAAAGTTCTATCTTCATTTTAGACATCATACATTTTATGTGCTAGAGACTGTCAAGAACACATTTAGAGGAGAACAATCAAGATGGTGAATTGACTTCAATCACCATGTAATGAACACTGGAAGGAGCATTTAACTTGCAGGGAAGAAGGATAGCATCTGCTCTGTCTATCTCCAGTGACAGATCTAGGATTGATAGCTAGAAGCTACAGGTAGATACATTTTAATTCCATAGGACTCTATACAAAATAAATATATTTTCTATAAGGTCACCTAGAAGTGGGTTTTCACTTTGTAATTTTAGTCCAGGTGAAGACTGAACACTGTTAATTTATAAATACTGACACTGATGAATGACAGGCAGGTGGAAGCTATAATTGTGTGTTTGGTTAAGGTTTTGTTCAACTACTCTTTTAAAAACTAAATATAGGAATTCTTTCACAAGTTGTAATCTGTAATGACAAATATGAGTTTTCTATTTTGAAATTGATATAATAAAACCTTATTTATAAAATGGCCATGTATGTTTTTAGCATTTATTTACTTAAGTGTGTTTAGGAGTTTCGTAAAAATTTGCAGAACCATGTATAGGAGCTCTGACAAACGAAAGAAGAAACACAAATAAAGCCTTAGAAGAGAGATCAAATAGTTGACAAGTGAGAAACTAACAGTGAACTTGGAGGAAAGGGAGGGAATTAGAACAAGAGCAAACACCCTCTGTGACCGTCTATTAGATAGAGGAGAACAATCGATCACTGTAATCAAGGTGTGTGGACATAGCATAGAAAATGCTGTTAGAATGGTGCGCACTACACTGATCCTGGACAGTAGTACCTGCACTATACAGCCGTTTAAATCATGGTCCCCACGTCAAGGGCATAAGACTCAGGACCACAGCCAGCTTCTCCAATAACTTTACGTCAATTAGAAAAAGTCACACACTGGGCAGATGTAGCCCTGTGGGTGAATTGCTTGGAGAATAAAGTATAGGCTGGATTTCAGCTTTCATATATGGCCCTTTGCTGAGAACCTTCATGCAGGGAATAGCTGTACCCATGGCTATGAATAGTCTCCACAGCATCTATTCCTATTTTCTGAAACCCACGTTTGGAATTCTCTATCTAGACGCTAAGAGTTGGGTCAGAGGGATAAGATTACTCATTTTGTTTGGAATGGAATGATTCAATTCCAAACTCCATACAAATGGCAAAAATAACTTTCAGAACTATCCAAATTTGGGATGTAAAGCTTATTTGGAGAAAGCTAATTCCCCATAATTAAAAGGGTTTAAGCAAGGTTTTGGTTATAGGACAGAAGAAAATAGCCTAGTTACTACAACCAAGATTTAAGTGTTGGTCCAAGTGGAATTTGGAACAAAATTTGCAGTGTGGTTTGCAAACAGCTGCATACATCAGAATCTCCTACAGGTTACAAGTGCATAGAGCTGGGCCCCGGTCCCAGAGTCTCTGGTTTCATAGGTATTCTAACAGGATCCCAGGTCGTATTGATGCTGCTAGGCGAGAGACCACATTTTGAGATTGGCTTAGACAGTCGTTTGCAAACTTTAATGTAGACACAAATCACTTGGAGACCTTGTTAAAATGCAGATTCCGGTTCAGTGGTTCTGGGGTGGGACCTGAGATTCTGCATTCCTGAGCAAGCTTCCAGATGCTGGCCCAGGGACCAGGCTTTGAGCATCAAGGGCTTAGGGTTTGTTGGTTCAGTGGCAGATGCAGTGTTTGAAGTTGTATGACAAATTATTGCAGCTGTAGAGACTAGACATTGTTGGGCAGGGACCCAGGTAGCACTCTCATTGACTCCGCAGATATGAGCAGAGCACCTACTATGGGTCAGGTGCTGTTAAATGCTGGGACACAGCAGTGAGCAAAACAAAGTCCTTGCTTTCATGGAATTCCCATTCCTGAGGAGCAAAGTCACGTTTATAGCACACTCTTCAATCTCTCAGAGGATTCTTTTTTGGGCTTCGATTTTTCATATCACAGCTTATTCTGAGGAAGGAGAAAGATAAAGGATTAGAGAAAAGTAGAATAATTCAAATACTTTTTTCTTCCACTTTATTTAAGAAGTCTGAACATTTCTTTGACCTGTAAATAAAATTTTCAGAAAAGATGTTCATATATTTATACAGGCATATTCATTTGTACTTCCTCCAAATAATTTCTAACAAAATATACATAAAGACACATTATAATATTCTTGCCATACGGGGTTATAGACAGAGTCATGACATGAATATTGACTTTTAAATTGGAGTGGTTCAAAAATACAGATCAGGACAGTGTTTAGAGGAAGTAGACAGTGTTTTAAGGGAGCCAAGAGTAATTTTCCACTGCCTTCTAGGTTCCTCCCACGAAGGCTGGGAAAATGGGAAGGAAACACCCAATAGATCAGTAGACTAGGTGAGTCAGTGAAATGCAGTGGCCAAAAGCATGGGTTCAAATCCTGTCTCCATCGGTTACAAATCGTGTGACCTTGCCGAGTTATTGAATGCCTTTGATGCCTAGTATCTTCATCTGAAAAGGGGGAATAAAGTCTACTTTGCAAGTTGGTTAAGAGAATGAATGAAATGAATATGTGCATGACTCATGGTTAACTCTCCATCGATAACCTGGTATCAGGATGGACACAGACCAGAATGTCAGCATAGTTCAGGGCTATTTTTGAGAGACATGTAAGCAATGCAGAGGAGTAGATCTAGCCCAGGCTGTTAATGTTCTCCCAGGCCAACTTTCCAGGAGGAGGCTGGGAACACAGTGGAAGCATTTTATTAAAAAAAAAAAAAAAAAAAAAAAGGCCAGGTATGGTGGCTCACGCCTATAATCCCAGCACTTTGGGAGGCCGAGGAGGGTGGATCACGAGGTCAAGAGATGGAGACCATCCTGGTCAACATGGTGAAACCCCATCTCTACTAAAAATACAAACAATTAGCTGGGCATGGTGGCACATGCCCTCTCAGCTACTTGGTAGGCTGAGGCAGGAGAATTGCTTGAATCTGGGAGGCAGAGGTTGTGGTGAGTGGAGATGGCGCCATTGCACTCCAGCCTGGGTAACAAGAGCGAAACTCTGTCTCAAAAAAAAAAAAAAAAGCACTAGCCAGATAGTAAAGGGTTGCATTAGACTGAGCAGGAGAGGATTCTATGGCTACAACTAGTGTAGATTCCCTCCTAAGATTAGAGTACTGGAATTTTACAACAGGTCCACCAGAATAGCTTTTGAATTTGTGATGCTTTTAAATGTGGTTTAAGATGATAATACCCAAACTGGTGAAGTTGCAATAAAACTTCTGTATCATAAGATGCTGGTGGCAAATTGGTACTATCTGTTAGGAAAGTAATTTGGCAGTATGAGTTAGAAATTATGAAAATATTCATACTCTGTCACTTGATTATTCTTTGTTTGGAAAGTTAATTTAAGGAAATAATCCAAAAGAAGGAAAACAAGGAAGATGATTGTTTTCATTACCTATATTAGAGAATAAGAAAAAAACAGAAAGCAGCTATATAATTCAAAGGATATTTATGTAACAATATATTCTAGTTATAATTGGGGCATAGCAAAAATACTTGAAGACATAGGAGTTTAGGCCGGGCAATGTGGTTCATGCCTGTAATCCCAGCACTTTGGACAGTCAAGATTGGAAGATTGCTCAGGCCCTGGAGTTTGAGACCAGCCTAGGCAACATGGCAAAACTCCCTCTCCACAGAAAAAAAAAAAAAATACAAAAATTAGCCATGGCAACATGGTAGGCAGAGGTGGGAGGATCGCCCAAGCTTGGGGAGGACGAGGCTGCAGTGAGCCGTGATTGCACCATTACACTCCAGCCTGGCTAACAGAGAGAAACCCTGTCTCAAAACAAAAACAACCAAAAAACATAGCAGTTTAAACCAGTCATGTTTGTTTGCTCACAGTTTTATGAGTCAGACATTTCAAAAGGTTGGGAAGTTCTTACTTGGAGTCTGGCATGTACTGCATTCCGATCTCTGTTGGGGCTGTGGTCGTCCAATGGCATGACGAGGCTTGTCATCCGAGATGGATCACTCACACGACAGCTGAAAGCTTAGCTGGGCTGTTAACCAGAGCACCTACATGCAGCCTCCCCAGCATAGCAGTCTTAGGATAATCAGATTTCTTTACAGGGTTTTTGTTTCTCGCAGAGGTAAAGTCCCAAGAGCACCAGGTGGAAGCCTCGTAGCTTTTCCTGGTCTAATCTTGAAAGTTATGCTGTGTCATATCTCCTGTATTCTTCCGGTTAAAAGTGAGTCAGTAATGTTGGCTCAAATTCAAGGGGAAGGGATACACACTCCACCCATCAATGGCAGGACTGCCAGAGGAATTACAGACATGTTTTAAAATTGCTACAATCTTATTTGCATTCCTCCCACATGCAACATACCCTCTCCCTTATCAAGACATCACAAAGGTTCAACTATTACAGCATCAGGCTCCGGCTGGACATTCCAGATCTCATTATCTCAGTCAGCTCCAGGTGTAAATGAATCTGCTCAAGTTTCTGATGACCTCAGGACTAAAGAGACCAAGGTTAGAATAAATAACCTAGACGCTCCTATTCAAAAAGGAAGGGATGGCAAGCACAAAGCAGTCGCTAGTCAAGAGAAACTTGAAATACAGCTGGGTACCTGTCACCAGTTTTTGGTTCATGTCATCCAGTACCATGGATTGTATTGATGTGTTAAGTACATCAGTACTGATTCCCTGGTACTGGTTTGCACTAAATATTAGGGGATTGTTTATCAGTACTGATTGTACTAGGGAATTGCTCCCCTAGGTTCTTGGCTCCTTCCTCTAGGCTCCCGTTTTTCCCTCTGAGTCATCCTTCCTTTTTCATAATAAACAGCCTGCAAGTGCAGCTAGGTGGCTCTCTCATTTGACTTCCTTCCCACAGAAGGTTGTGGATCAGAACTGCTTTCGTTTTGTGCTGCTTCTGTCTCTTTCAGACCAAGATGGTATTGCTCCTGCCAATATAATTCCCTTGAAATTTTTGTCAGCTTTTTATGAATCTTACTAGAGTCCCTTCATTAGACAAAGACCCTTTACAGTCTTTGGGACAGACTCTTCTCTAGCTTTGATTCTCTATAAAGCTGCAACATCTTTCAGAGCCTAGAAGTTCTATGATTTAAGAGGGATGGTCTACTACAAAGCCTGATCTTAAGATCCTTAGATACATTTTATCTAGCTGACCATTTCTATGAGATACTATTTTAAATCCTTCTGATATCATAAAAAAAAAAAAGGTGTTTTAAAATTACCCTTCTGGCTTCATTTTTACCCTTTGATGGTGTTTTCTTGAAAGAGCCCTGGGTTTGGTCTTTTTCCCTAAGGCCCTTTCTTCCTTTAAGAATTCTTTGCTGAATGAAAATATTCTCTTGAGCCCTCTGTATTTCTTTCAGATTTCCTTTGAAAATGAAATTGTTGGTTTTTAAAGTTTATCTGTTTATTCTCTCTACTTCCATTTTATCATAGGCAATTATAAGAAGCCAGATGGCATCTTAAACACTCTGCTTGGAAATTTTCTTAGGTAGATCATCACATGCCTTAGTACATTTTCTATTTTCCACATTACAGCAGGTGATAGTTTTGGTAAACTTTCCACTACCATGCAAACACGGTCTCCTCCTCTTTAGCTTCTTGTAACATTTCCCTCACCTTCCTTTAAGCCCTGCCTGACATATGGCACTTCTCAAGCCCCATCAGATTTCAGCTTACGTTCCAGCCCTCACCTGCTGCCTATTCTCAAAACCAATGGCATGTGGTTTATATTGCTATTATTGTGGACCCTCATTTCCCGGTACCACAGTTCGTTCTGGTCACTATTACCGTGTGAAAATTTGTCTTTAAATGTAGTTCCCTACAGCAACCATTTTATTTTACTCATAATTTTGTGCATCACAAACTTGAAAAGGGCTCAGCTGAGCCGTTCTCATTTGAGGTTACTCATGCAGTTGCAGGAAGATGTCAGCTGGGCCTGCAAACATCTGATGACTTGACCAGCCTGGATGTCCAAGATGGCTCACATGCATGGTTTAGAGCTGATGCTGCTGTTGGCTGTGAGCTCAGCTGGGCTGTCTTCAGTGTCTACATGTGGGCTTTCCAGCACAGCGCTCTCAGGACACTTGGCCTTCTTCCATGCTGCTGGTCTACCCTGGAGCTAATATCCCAAAAGAACCAGGCAAGAGCTGTCTGATCATTTCTGACCCAGTTTTGAAAGTTAAAAACAGTGTCACATCTGCTGCATTCTATTGGTTATAAGGTGCTCACTAAGTCATCCCGGATTCATGGGTAGGAGACGTAGATATCACCCCTCCATGAGATGGGTGACAAACAATTTGCAGGTATGTTTTAAAACTGCCACACACCATATTAAATTCTCTAAGGTTAGAGATAAAAAGCAGAATATAGAATTGCATATGCCCTGGGATTGAAAGTAGTATTCAGGAATGGACATATGGAAAACATTGCAAAGAAATGCAAAAAATATTGTATTTTTTTTCATTATTGAAGATTTTTTTTCTCCATTTATTTTATAGTAGGAAAGAAAGAATGAATGATAGACAAGAAAACATATTTCTGAGTGATTCCGTGCTTCTGCTTTATAATCTCTGCTCCATTTATCTTACAGTTTACCTTTGGGATAGCCATGAGAATCACTTTAAGTTGGGTTTTGGGGTGAGAGGGAGCATTGAGAACATGACCAGTTGGACATGAAGGTACCCCGGCTGTGGTGAAGATGGATTGAGTGGTGATGCACAGGGCTACTATATGCCATGTCAAGTCATATTATATGACTATCTAATAAAGGCCATGAAGAAGCCCAAAAGTGTTGCCTCTTATTTGCAGGATCAAGACACCCAAGTAGGTTCACACATTCCAGGGCCATCAAATTCTGTTTTCCCCATGAAACAACTAATAGGAGACATAGGTCAAATGTTGAAACTGAAAAGTGGTACAGATTTGTCCAAACAGAATGTGCTTGCATTCAATCACTCCAGCAACGTGGAATTAAAAGCTATGTGCTATTGTCAGATGCTCAGATGCCCTGCACTACACACGCAGACTTCCCTACACCTGCTATGTCCGGAGAGCTTTCTTGACCTGCTTTTGCTCACACAGTAGGACCTGGATCCCAGTACAGATCCAGAGGCCTGTTAAGGACTGAATTCTGTCCTGCCCAGAATGTGTATGTTGAAACCCTAAGCCCTAGTCACTGCATTTGAAGATAAGGGCTTCATTATTTTTTAATTTTTTATTTTTATTATATTTTAAGTTCTGGGGTACATGTGCAGAACATGCAGTTTACATAGGTATACATGTGCCATGGTGGTTTGCTGCACCCATTAACCCATCATTTATATTAGGTATTTCTCCTAATGCTATCCCTCCCCTATCCCCCACCCCCAACAGCCCCTGATGTGTTATGTTCCTCTACCTGTGTCCATGTGTTCTCATTGTTCAACTCCCACTTATGGGTGAGAACATGTGGTGTTTGGTTTTCTATTCTTATGTTAGTTTGCTGAGAATGATGGTTTCCAGCTTCATCCATGCCCCTGCAAAGGACATGAACTCTGCCTTTTTTATGGCTGTATAGTATTCCACAGTGTATATGTGCCACATTTCCTTTATCCACTGTATCACTGATGAGCATTTGGGTTGGTCCCAAGTCTTTGATATTGTGAACAGTGCCACAATAAATGTATGTGTGCATGGGTCTTTATAGTAGAATGATTTATAATAGAAGATAGGGCCTTTAAAGACATAATTATGGTTAAATATGGTCATAAGTTTGGGGCCCTAATCCAACAGGATTGGTGTCCTTATAAGAAGAGAGACACCAAATATCTCTCCTTTTTCTCTCAATGCATTCACATAGGCAGGTTGTGTGAAGATACAGAAAGAAGGTAGCCATCTGCAAGCTATAGAGAGAGGCTGCAAGAGTGGTCGATCCTGTTGATGCCTTGATGTTGGACTTCCAGCTTCCTCAACTGTGCTCACACAAGTTTCTGCTGTTGAAGTCACTCAGGCTGCAATACTTTGTTATGGCAGCCCTAGAAAACTAGTACAAAGTCTTTCAAGCTGATTATGGTATCCTTTTTTGCATGCCCTGATCATTTCTTGAGCATTTCTTTACTTCCTAGCACAATAGGACGTTCTGTGTCATGTAGTACTTTTTCTGCCTGTGGTAGACAGCACATGGCCTCCTAAGGAGGTCCACAGGAATCCTCTACACCTATGAATAAGTTTCCTTAAAGGTGTTTGGCCCAGTGCATATGCCACAATATAAAATTGGCTTCCATGAGTAGCAAGAAAAAAGTTTTGGAAAATCACACTTGTCACTTTGCCTAATGAGCAAAATATTGAAAAGAAGTTTAATTGAAATTTAAGAAAATAAAACCTTGTTTTGGGGATGAGAATGATCTGCTTCTTACCTTCTCTGCACAGCAGAGATACACAGAAATGGTTTAGAGTTGCCATGAGATGGACTCGAAGTGGTTGGTAAGGAAATTCGAACGTGTCTACAGCAGGTGCAGTGCCAGGAGCTGAGAAAAAGACACAGATGCTTAAGACATGGTTCCTGTCCTAAAGGATTCAGTCTGGGGATAGTTTCTCACCAAATGGGGAACCAAAGAGATTACCTGGAATCTGTAAGGGCATTTTTATTTTTATTTTATTTTTATTTTTATTTTTGCCAGTCAGTTTGAGCTTATGAGGTTGCTCAGGTTAGCCTTGAACTCATGACCTCGCCTTCGCAAGTGCCATGACCTCCAGCGGGAGCCACTTTGGACCCCCATAAGGGCATTTTTGTCGTGCCAGCAAGTAAATCAGAAAGCTGGTGTATGGATTCAACTGATGTGTAGATTTTAAGGATAGAAGGAAGAAATATAACAATGACAAATTTGATTGGAAAAGATCAGCTGGGAAGATCATACTCAGCCCAAATGGAGCTTTATCACAATAGGAAGATGCCCGATACAAAAGAAACTACAGAACGTGGCAGATCAAGGTGGTGTGAAAACACTGAGCTGATTGTAGCCACTGCACCTGTGTTTGCTGATCTTAAACAGCTGTGTGGATAATGTTAGCAGGAACAGGGCAATTGAGGAACTTGAGAATGCTAGTGCTGTGATTGAAGCCACCTGTCCGGGCATCTCAGGTAATATGGTGCAGAAGTTAACCCGGAAATTTCGAAAGCATTCCTCTTCTAAGCTTCTTGTTATTGGCTTCTGTTTCATATGAAACCAGGTAAAGCCCTTCAATCTTGCCTTCATGCCTAACTCAGAAGCTCTGTATGCCTTTCATGCTTTTACAACTTGTTGATGATGAAAGACTTTAAAGAACTTTCCACATCCCCACGAGACAAGTGCTTTATGTAGTGGTTAAAAGCATGGATTTTGGAGTGATCATCCAGGTAAAAGACCTGAGAAGCTTTACAGGCTGTGTGAGTTTAGTTGAGTTGTTAAACATTTCTGGGCTTCAGCTTCTCTTCCACAAAATGGAAATAATAATATAACGTCATTGCGGTAAATGGGAATTGAAGACTATTCTGTACTTGGATGACTCCAGGTCTGACTCCTTTGCAAAATGTTTGAACCCTTGAAGAGAAACTGAGTTTGGTGTTATTTCATTTTGACCAGGCTTTTGGTCTTGGGCCCTAGATGTAGGTGAGAAAAGCACTTCCACTTTTTGGAGCTTGGCCTGGACTTTAAGGTGTGGGGACATCTGGGGTGCTTCTGACAGCTGCTCGGGGAAGCCCAGCCTAGCCCTAAATTGGCCAGCAGGATGTAGTCTAGGAAACTGACCTGCAAAAACTCTGGGACAGGCCTAAGTTCATCACATCTGTGAGTTTTTACCTGGCTTTTACTTTCCTGCAGTTATTCCCACACCTAGGCTAGTTCTCAAGAATGACACCATGGTCTCTGATTTGCTGTGGCAAGCAAGAGGATGGGCCTTCCCATGAGTGAGATTAAGTGGACACAAGGAGGTCAGCAATCCCTCCCTGAGGTCAGGCTGCAGGTAGCAGTGAGGCCGCCAGAAGAAAATCACTGTGGGCACCATATGGTGGTATGAAGAGACCCAAGTGGCAGAACCCAGGAGTCTGTGCCCAAAATATGTGAGAGAGATGCCCAAAGCATTGAAACCACTGGAACTCACTGGATGGAATCATGGGATATTTTCTGCTAACTATGTAAGCAGGGCCACAGATATAGTCCCTTGAGTTACTAGCCCAACACTTTCATTTAACAGAACACACACGTCTACACTCAATGGGGATGGTCGCTGTGTTTAACCACCTCTGTGTTGTCCAAGACCAATCCAAAAGGATGTAGCTGGCCCTGGTGCTGAAGCCTACGATCATTTATGGAAGACAGTAAATCCTATTGCTGGTAATATGGAAGATCTCCAAAGTCCCTTTATAAAGGAGATAAGGGGTATTTGGGTTTTCCATCATTTCCCCAAAAAACTATAATTTCTGTCTATTGAGAATGGTAGAATTTTGCCCCTGATTTTTCTGAATTCTGGGTTTTGTTACTGGGTTTTTTGTTTTTGTTTTTCCAAGAGAAAGAGTGAATCCGATTTTCTGGATGCCCCACTGTGCCAGGAATTAATCCTTTAGTTTCTGGATCCTGGGGAAGCTCATGAGGTTCCAGAAGAAAGGGTGGGTAGCTGACAGTTGGGAAGCAAACAGATAGCTTGAGTCAATGTCTGTTTACCAGGTTGTATGAAAATATTTCAGTGTTTTAACAACAGGAGCATCTGGGACTAGTACATACCAGTTCTGCCTACACAACCAGGACCAAACACAGCAGAAGGATTCTTACATCCATGTTGTTCCTGAACTGCTTTACACAGAAAACCGAGGCTTTGCTGAACTTTAGCAGGGAACAGGATAGGAGTACAGGACTGCATTGGGTCAGGCTGTCTCTCATGCTTGGATAGCTCTTCCCACATGCCCTCTTGTGTAAGCAGCGAAGCCATGTGGGAGAGACCCCTTGCTATTGCCCCATTTCCTCGAGTCTCTAAAATAAGGCAGATCCACATGTCACAGTTCCTGTTTCAGGGCTGCAATCTGTGAACCTTTCTGCTTCTGGGCCTGAATGGATGCTAGTCAATTCATAGCTGTCAAAATGAAGCTATCTTCATGACCCCTCAAAAACCCATTCAGGGTCCCCACAAACTCAGCCCACACCTTCCTACTCCAAATTGATGAGGCTGACTCAATTTCCTGCTGACTCACAGCAGTCCCCGCTTTACCAGTCAGCTGGTTCCCCAGGATAAAAGTGGCTCCAGGCAGAACCTAAGGTCCCTGGGAAATAGTGTTGCATGTGGCCACTGTGAGAAGCTTAGCATGAGGCCTCAGATCCCTGCTTTTTCCACATGGCCTGAGCCTTCTCACTGGACAGAATATTTCGAGTGTGCACTCTGAACCTAGAGCCTGAACCAGGGGAGAGGATGCAAGGCCAGCTGGACGTGCAGAGCTGAGACTGCTGATTAGCCAAAGCACTTCAAATTCTCACCTGTTACCTGAGATGGAACACCTCAGGAAATCCAGGCAACCTAATGGCCAGCTGCTCACAAAAAGTGAATTCCAAATAAAATTTACAATCCTATACGGAAGACAGCAAACCCTATTGCTGGTGACATGGAAAGCCTCCAAAGCTCTTTTATAAAGGAGAGAAAGGATAATTCGGTGGTCCAGAATTTTCCCAATAAATCATGGATTCCTTTCTATGAGATCAACAGAACTCTTGTCACCAATCTTTGTGAGTTCTGGGTTTGGACACTGGGGTTCTTTCAAGAGGACAGAAAGAATCATATTTTCTTAAGAAGATATATTCATAACTTAAAATGACTCTTTGCACATTTTATAACACTTGCACCCACTGACA